TGGGACTGCGAGTGGAGGTGTGGTGGGAGCGGGTGCTGGGCGAAGCATGTGGTGCCCCAGGCAGCACCAGAAGGGCTACATGATCAGATCACTGTGAGTACTGTGTGGGGAAAGGTGAAGGAGTGGAGGCCTGGTGTGGTAAATAGTGCCCATTCCTCACCAAAAGCCACCCCCCAACCTTGTATCTTCCTAATAGAATTCCAATTTTGTTCAAGAATCAGGCTGCAACTGTGATTTCAAGAGGGGTAGCATGGGGGCGCTATGTGACCCGCTTCTCATCAATCAGCTGTAAAGGGAAAGTTCTGGGAGGCTGTGGGAAACCCTCTCCCCATAGGACCCAGGTATCCAGGAGACATGCCTACCCAGAGCTGCCAATAGGCGGGCCAAGCTGCTTGTCAATGCTGAGCTGTCCTGTACCCCTGGCAGGAGGCCCAGAACCACAGCACTACCAGCCACAGTCTGGGCCTGCACCATGGGCAGCCACAGCCTACCTCCTGCTCTTAGGGTCCAGGGTGGAGAGAGGGTCCCCTGGTTCATGCTTTTGATAGGAGGGCAGTTTCTCATATTCCAATGCATCACCTGATACACTCCTGGCCCACCTGACTATTTAAACCAGGTTTCCAGGTCTCTTAAGTCTTTTAAGGTGCCCTACTCCAATGTCGCAGCTACAGGATCATCTATTTGCCAATATTTCCCTCAAATTCTGTTTCTGCCATCTCTGACCAGCTGCCACTCTAAATCAGTCTGGCTCCAGAATTCACTTAGGTAGCACACTAGTCATTTCAACTCTGCTCACTCCCCCAGACCACTCACGGCAAGTGGTTATTTATAATCTCCTTACTCTTCTAGAAGTGGACCCCGAGTTTCTGCAGAAACAACTAAAATTCTAAGGACACCACCTATAAACTTCAACCTCAGGGGGAATAAATAGGTATTTTTCTTTTAGAACTTCTAGGTTTCAAGCCTAGAAATGATATTCTAACTTGAAATCAAGATCCCAAACAACTGAAAAGGTAAAAAAGAAAATTAAAGCTGGGTCATGTTATTGCCTGGAAAAACAACAATCCCATACAACTCCATGCTGCTTGCAGGAACAGGTGTGGCTCCCAGGAGTGGTGACTTTGGGTTCTGTGGAAATGAGACCCTTCCTCAAAGTTGTACAGATGTCATGTGACTACAGATTAAGCAGCCAGCAAAATGCATATGGGGTATATCAGAGAGGTTAAAAAAATAAAGAGCTTAGCAAACCACTGAAGACAAAGAAATGAGAAGAAAAAGAAACCTACAAAATATTGTAGAAATCCTATCAATTTTCCATTTATTGCATGAGGAAGAAACCTACCTTCTATTTAAAAAAAGGACTTTTCAAGGCTTTTCAGAGGCTCTTTTGACAGTATTTGGGTCACGTGAGTAATCTAAACTGGAAACTTACATAGATTTACTGAATCTATTAGATCATAGGATGGTTTGGCACTTTGTAAATAGCTTATTGTATTCTTTTTCATAATATTCACCTTCTGCCAAGCATAAGAGTGGATGAATGCGCTGCTCACGGGGTACACAATGTTGCTTGGTGATTAACAGGACAGTTACTCCCATACCTGCTGAAGGCAGTTATATTTGAAATATAACTGAAGGCAGTTATATTTGAAAGTTCAAGTGAAACAATTGAAAACTCAAGAATTAGGATTTACCTTAGGAATGCAAGCATGATTTTACACTAGACCACCTTAGAAAATCCGTTGTTATAACTCACCTCATTAACAAATTAAAGGAGAAAAAAACCTGATTACATAAAAGCTATCAGATCATGTCATTAATTATAGAAAAAATTCAATCCCCATCCTTTAAAAACAAGCCAAGTAGTCAGGCATGGTGGTGCCTGGCTGTTGTCCCAGCTACTCAGAAGGCTGAGGTGGGAGGATCACCTGAGCCTGGGAGTTCAGGACTGCAATGAGCTATGATCATTGCGCTCCAGCCTAAGTGACAAAACGAGAACCCGTCTCTAAAAATAAATAACCATATAATAGTTTTGTGCTAAAACTTCTCCTGTTATCCTTTGGACATGAGTCTCTGTCATTTAAATTCATGGTTGTTGGTGGATTAGTTGATATTCTGTGGTAGCGATACAATAAATATTAGTCCATTTAGGAGGTCTGTGTTTTGCTTTTTCTGCAGTAATGTAAAAGGGCAGGAAGATTAGTATGTTACAAGTCCACTGGGATTACAAATCAGTTTCTATGCACTTAAGACAGCACAAAATCACAGACCTAGGGTCTTGATGGATATAAAAGAAAGCCTATGTGATAGCATGCCCCCATCTTTACCTCAAACTCTCACCTAAAAATACTAGTTAGGTCCTTTCCCCTCCTACTATCAGTATTTTATAATTCTAGTTAGCACTCAATAAGATCTGGGATATATAAATAATAGCAGTTTGATTTTAAACATATAAATTGTGCCTGGTAGTCTACAGAAAATGCAAACGATTTCTTTTAAATTAGATTTAGTTTATTCTAGAAGATTATAGATTTTATTGTCTCTATTTACCAAAGCTACAATACCTTTAAATGCTTTCATTATCAACCAAGAATAAAAAAAGTTAAATGAAGAAATAATTTTACTCAAGAAACTAGTAAGAAACCAAAGAAATGCACAAAAATAGGACAAAAAAATTAAGATAAAAGTAGAAACAAGTTAATCAGAAAAGATTAACAGTGGAATATATAAACTGATCCAACTGGTTCTTTGTAATGGAATGTGGACAGACATACTCTACTCTTCTGGATAGGAAGACAAAATATCATAATCATATCAATGCAAGTTTTTATACATGCTCAAACATGTATAAATTGAGAAAAGGCCTGAAAGGACACATAGCGAAATGTTAGCAGTTTTTATCCAAGTGGTGAGATTAAAGGTAATATATTTCTTTTTTATACTTTCCTGCTTTTTTAAATCCTCATAATGAAAACATAATTTTATGATCAGAAAAAATAAGCTACTCTGAGATGTCAAATTATTTCTCATTGATATATACAATGTAATGCCAATCAAACTACCAAAAATACTGAAGGACTGAGAAAGAACTTCAAGAAGGTCCACATGGGAGATAAAACATTTTGCAAGAGAGTAGTGAGTAATCAAGTAAAAAAGAATATTCTTATTCCATAAGATATTAAAACCCGATACAAAGCCTGACTGGTAACCTCTAATGGAATTACTTCCATACCTTCAATAAAATACCTGCAAATTTAGGATACAGACAAAGACAGAAACTCCTAAACATGACCCACCACTAAAACCATCAGATGGCCAAATGCGGAATCAGGTTGCAACGAACTCATCTTAAGACAGATGAAGCAGTGGAGAAAAATCTCATGAGAACTCAGGGCATAATTTGCTTCTTGAAACAATGACAACCCCTGAAGTAAGGTAGGAAGATGATCCTCTTGCCAGCAGATCCCTAAATCAGACCCAGAACTTGGAGGAAACAGGGAATAGGAATCCATCTCTCTGCACCTCTCCAGCACTGCTCTGAGAGGTGGGCAGAATATCATATAATCACCACAATTCTTACATCAAAAAAAAAAAAAAAAAAACAACAACAAACAAAACCAAAATTCCAGGCTGATTAAAGTATTATTTTTTAAAAATGAGAAAAGTTATTATTTATTTGGTCTTGGGCTATGGAAGATCTTCCCAAGCAAAAAATGTTTAAAAAATGAAATGATTGGGCTGGGTGTGGTGGCTCACGCCTATAATCCCAGCACTCTGGGAGACTGAGGCGGGTGGATCACATGGTCAAGAGATCCAGACAATTCTGGTCAACGTGGTGAAACCCCGTCTCTACTAAAAATACAAAAATTAGCTGGGTAGCACGCCTGTAGTCCCAGCTACTTGGGAGGCTGAGGCAGGAGAATTGCTTGAACCCAGGAGGCAGAGGTTGCAGTGAGCCGAGATCACGCCATTGCACTCCAGCCTGGGTAACAAGAGTGAAACTCAGTCTCAAAAAAAATGAAATGATTAACAGATTTAAATGATAATACAAAATGTTGACAGGGTTCAGGGAAGCACATGATCTCATGACCGCTAGGATGAATAAACTGGCATAATATTTCTGAAAGACAATCTGGCTGAATGTGTTGAACGTCTTTAAAATGTTTATACTCTTTGACTCAGTAAGTCATCGTCTAGGAATTTTTCCAAAATAAACAGTAAGACATATAAAAAAGTATTTATAATATTGAAAGACTGGAAAGACCACAAATGTTTGACTATATATATGTTCAACAACAGGGACCTAATAAATATGAAATATTTATATTAAACTACTATCTGGCCTTTAAAAGAATGTTTAAATGAATATTTAATGATGTAAATATGCTGATTAAAAAGTTTAATTATTTCTAAACTGTTAAATGCAAAAAGAAAGTTAATAACATGTATAGGATGATTCAAAATTTGTTTAACTTGTATGATACATATACACACATATATATCTGGAAGAAAACACAAAAATAGTGGTAATTTTTGGTGGAAAATTGGGAGTGATTTAATTGTCTGTTACCAGCAGCTAAAAGCATGCTGATAGACCTGGCAAACTCCCACTCAGTCTTCAGAACTCAGCTCAGTTGCTATTTCTTCCAGGAAGTCCTTCTGTACCCCCAACCCCCATGTTATACCAGGTGCCCCTCCTTTGCACTAGACCAGAGCCTGGGCATAGGCTCTGTAATATTCTTTATCACTGCATCATACTCTGATTTCACTCCACATCCCCACTACACACTCAATCACACATAATCAGAAATCTAGGCCTTTCTTTTTTGTATCCCCACTTCCAATCTCTCTGCAATCTAACAGGACTTCAAGCTGGAATGCTGGCTTCATGAATGAAATAGACTGAGCAAATGCTTCTACGTGCTCTGTAAAGTTGGAGGTTAAGGGCAGAAATATGAATAAGGATGAACAAATACCAGTAAAGAATTGTCTCTTCTCACCTTGGCCAGCAGGCTGGAAACATGTTTAATTTCACTATTTGCCTTCAGTAATTCTTGTCTGAGCTCATTGCAAGACAGTTCCAGTATATCTTTCTCCGCTTGGGCTACTTTCAACATTTCTTGAACTTCGCAGCTCTCTGCCATCTGCCCTATGGAACTGGCCTCTATGGCTTTCTGCTTCTCACCCTGCAAATGAGATTTCAAAGATCCATTCTCCGTTTTTAGCCCTTCCAAGGTAAATCTACACTCTTCCAAAGTTTTGGTCATGATATTATTATTACGCCGTTCCAGTTCTAGAAACTCACTCAGTTTTTCATTTTCTTCCTTCAGGCGTTTAATCATTTCTAAAGCTCCTTGGTTTTCTTCCTCAACCTTCCGCAAGCTACAGGTCAACTGTTGCTGAATGTTGAGAAGCTTCTCTCTTTCAAAGCGGCCCTGCTCAAGAATATCTGTGCACTTCTGCTCCAGTTCAAGGATTTTTCCTTCCTGAGTGGTAGGTTCTTCATTTTTTACTCGCTCTTGTAAAAGAGTCATCAGTTTCTCATTTTCTTGACTTAGCTGCTCTGCCCTCTCTCGATGCTGATGAACGGATGTCTCTAAAATTGTCTTTTCATCCACCAGCTTCTCATTTTCAGCTGTCAATTCTTGCACCATTTGTTGCTGGTCTGATAACTCTTGTAGAGTAGCCTGCAGTTCTTCTGCAGTGCTATGGTGATTTTCTTCCATCTTTTGTATCTTCTCTGTGAGGGAAGCCAGGGATAATTCGCTTACGTTGTTTGGGGAACTCCCAGCGGTAGAACACTTTGAACTCTTAAAGGGGTTACTGGTCGAGGACAGGAGCCTCGAGGGTGTCTCTGCTGTAATGTGCTCAAAGTCGGAGGCATCTGGTGACAAAGAAGCTTTGGTAACATCGCTACTTGAAGAGCCTGATGTCCGTAATGAGTTTCCATGTATGTTTTTCTTATACTCATCAACGTCACTGGACAACTGATTTCCAGTTGGGCTTCCAAAGCTTGACTCTTGAGTTATGGATGTTGGGCAGCTGCTGTCACCAGTGTGACTTGCTGCCCCTTCTGAGTTTGGGGAGTGCTCAAGACAGATGAGTTTCTCCTTCAGGGCCTGGTTTTCTTCCTCTAGGTCAGAGAGCTCTTTCTGAAAGTTCTTGTTCTTCTCCTCAAGAGCTCTTATCATAGGTTCCATGTCACCTAGGGAGACTGATGTTCCATCTCCATTTGGGCCCAAAGCATCAGTCCCCTCAGTGCTCAGAGTCCTTTTCTCTTTGCATTTCTTTAGTTCACTTCGAAGCCTGTTAATTTCACTATCTTTTGCTTTGGCTTCTGCCAAAAGTTCCCGAACTTGGGACTCAAGCGCAGCCTTTTCTCCACCTTCATTGTCTTGCTTGAGCTTTGCAGAAGGGGTCCTCAGGTGCTTGGTAGGAGTGGGAGTGTTGGAAGAAGTTGGACTGGACACTGATTTCCTGGGGTTGGAGGGACCACGTGGCACAGACCTCTCTCTTGAGACAGTTACTGAAAATTCCCGTGGGGCTGGAATGCCTGTCCGTTTGGTTGTTGTAAAGGCACCTTAAAGACAGAAGAAGAAAAAAAGTAAAAAAATAAAGCAAGAACTCTTATAAATAAAACCCAAATGACTGTAAATCACATGGCACAGTGGACAGTGGCTGTCGTTCTTCATCCATTTACTCCTTCTCTAGCTAATTACCTAGTCCTGACTAGGGTTTCTGTGCTTTCTCCCACAGCCTATACTTTGGGTGAGGCTGACTCCATGCCTGAGCTACTTAGGATAACTCCATCCCCAGCCAGTTGCTGGTTCACACATGGGCACACACTTCAATTAAGATCAATGTGACAAAGGGAAGGTTTCCTGGGCAAGCTATTAAACACCACAGGACCAGAAAAAAGGTGTAGGTATAGAAATGGTTTGCAACCACCCTGCCCTCTCAAGACAAAGGTGGGAATGCAGATGGCAAGAGAAACAAGAAGGAAACTAAACTCTCAGTGGCACTGTTGAGTTGCTAAATCAAACCAACCCTGAAGCCTGGCCTATAGGTGGCCTTTCAGTTAAGCAAGCCAGGAAATACACTTCCTATAAGTCATCTTGAGTTGGGTTTTCTGTAACTTGCAATTTAGTACATCTGCACTGATAATGTTGACAATTAAACAATGGCCTTTTGACGAAACACAAGTTCTTTGTGAATTTCTCAATAAACAGTTTAAAAAACATCATTAACGTATTTTGACAGCATAAATTTGACTAAGAAATCAGAAGATACAGATAATACTGCGAGATGGATCTGATACAATGACATAGTGCTTTTGACATAGTGGAAATGATGTACTCATTTGTATACATGGAGAAATAAGAACAAATGAGATAAGAACACACCTATGGTAATTGACATGATATGGACATAATACAGAATACTTGTAACAGGAAATGTAAGGTATAAATGATTTTCTTATTTTCATCTGTATCATGTACTATATACTATATCATAGACAACGTAAAAAACAATTCTAGGGGTGATACCCAGACATTAGTCTCCATTCCACCTCAAATGTTACAGTGTAATTTTATTTTTTTTTATAAACTCAGACTATTTGATGAGTCAAGGCTAGCTACTGTCACTTACACAACTATATGCTTTGAGTGGGAGGTCTAACAAAGGGTCCCAGAAGTGGTCATCAACCTGTAGGCCTCTACAGCATAGGAAGGGCATGGGAGAGAATGTTCCCATAGACTGGCAGCAGCCCCAGAGCTAAGACAGGTTCAGCATCTAACAGGGTGTGCATCTGTAAACCCACCACCAAGACTGTTTCCAAGCCCTGAGCAAACGCACACCTCAACATCCTGGATCCTGACATCATAAAGGCTGATGGCATTCATTGCTAAACATCTAACAACTGAGCTCTTTTGAAACTTTGACCCAATAAAGGCTGAACCATCCATTTGTTTTTGTTTTTGTTTTTTGAGACGGAGTTTCACTCTTGGTACCCAGGCTGGAGTGCAATGGCACGATCTTGGCTCACCGCAACCTCTGCCTCCTGGGTTCAAGGAATTCTCCTGTCCCAGCCTCCGGAGTAGCTGGGACTACAGGCGTGCGCCACCATGCCCAGCTAATTTTTGTATTTTTAGTAGGGATGGGGTTTCACCATGTTGACCAGGATTGTCTCGATCTCTTGACCTCATGATCCACCCACCTCGGCCTCCCAAAGTGCTGGGAGTATAGGCGTGAGCCACCACGCCCGGCCTTGAACTGTCAAATTAACATAGAAAACCATAGTTTTAAAATTAATTTCTTCAGATTGTTTCTGGAAAGCCAAGAGTATATATATATATAATAGACTTTTAATACAGTTGACCCTTGAACAACTTGAAGGTTAGGGTGCCAAACTCTCATGCAGTCAAAACTCTGTGTATCACTTTTGGCTACTCAGAAACTTAACTACTACTAGCCTATTGCTGACTGGAAGTTTTATTGATAACATAAACAGTTAACACGTATTTTGTATGTTATATGTATTATATGCTGTATTAAAGTGAGATTAAAAAAAGAAAATGTTATTCAGAAAATCATAAGGAAGTGAAAATACATTTACAGTACCATACTGTATATACCAATACCATAAGTTTAAATAGTCTGTTTACAAAATGAATCATCTGTCTGACGCATCAGGCAACCACTCCTCAATCTAGCAACCAATTCAACTCTGTCAGGACTTTCCTTGGCTTCTAGGGAGCACTGCCAGCATCAGTAGTGGCACTTCATATAGGTCCCATAGTGTTATTCAGAGTTTGTGGTACTGCACTACACACAATAAAACATACTCAAGAACTTCAAGAGATTACTTTTTATTGTGATCTGAAGTGTACTAGAGCGAGGAACTGCTCCCACAGAGATATTCGGCATCATAGTGCCTTCCAAGTAGATACCCCCAATGCTTGAACACACTGTAATAGCATCAGGAAGTAGCTATGGGATTATTACAGGAGTACCGTATGCACTACAGTTAATTTTATGCAGTTATAATTTAATACTGCCTCTTTGTTTACATTTCTCTCAACTATGAATAGCACCATGTACAGTGTGTGTGTGCCTAAGTTTAGATAAATTTTAACTTTTTATAATAGATTTGTGCATATTTGGTAGTAAATGATAAAACCGATTAGTATCTACATATATTTTATGTATTCATAACATATGTAACTTTTTCTCAATTTTTTCCATATTTCTAGACTACTCAATTCATCTGAGTTTTTTCGAACTGTTGCAACTCCCCAAATAATTTTCCAATGTATTTACTGTTTAAAAATCTGCATACAAATGGACCCACACAGTTCAAGCCAGTGTTGTTCATGGGTCAACTTTATTTTTAGGTGTCAGATACCTCACCTGCGTCATACTACACAACTCAATGAGGAAAAGATTTATTCTTGGGAAATGAGCATTAAAACCACTAAGCACTAAAATGTTTCAGTAATGCCAGTTCTCTAGAATGAACTCATTGCAGAAAGGACTGTATTAAAAACTGGAATATAACTAAAGTTTCACCATAACTCTAGTCAGAACAGACAAACCTGAGAGTCCAGGACTGGTCATCAAACAGGCATTTGCCATTCTTTTTTTTTTTTTTTTTTTTGAGACGGAGTTTCGCTCTTGTTACCCAGGCTGGAGTGCAATGGCGCAATCTCGGCTCACTGCAACCTCCGCCTCCTGGGTTCAGGCAATTCTCCTGCCTCAGCCTCCTGAGTAGCTGGGATTACAGGCACGCGCCACGGTGCCCAGCTAATTTTTTTTTTTTGCATTTTTAGTAGAGACGGTGTTTCACCATGTTGACCAGAATGGTCTCGATCTGTTGACCTCGTGATCCACCCGCCTCGGCCTCCCAAAGTGCTGGGATTACAGGATTGAGGCATTTGCCATTCTTAATAATATCGCTAAATTAAAGCTGCCTCTTTCTTTCTTTCTGATTTTTATTTTATTTATTTATTTATTTATTTATTTTTTGAGATGGAGTTTCACTCCTGTCACCCAGGCTGGAGTACAATGGTGCGATCTCAGCTCATGCAACCTCCGCCACCCAGGTTCAAGTGATTCTCCTGCTTCAGCCTCCTTAGTAGCTGGAACTACAGGCACAAGCCACCGCACCCAACTAATTTTTTGTGTATATATATATTTTTTAATAGACACAGGGTTTCACCATGTTGGCCAGGCTGGTCTCAAACTCCTGACTTCAGATGATCTGCCTGCCTCGGCCTCCCAAGTGCTAAGATAACAGGTGTGAGTCACCGTGCCCAGCCACTTTCTTTTTTTAAAACCTTCAATCATTTATTGGTTTTGAAGATAAAAGAACTAATATAGAACAGATCAACTTTTATTGATCTGTTATTATCTGTTGTTATTTCCAGCTACAGTTTAACTCCCTTTTGCTGCCAAATTGTAGTCTGTTCTCCCTGTGTTATTTCTGCCTTATCTATACTACTAGTAATTTTTTAAAACCATGAAACTAAAGTATATTTATGAACTGATGTGTATTATGAAATGTACAATCCGGCCATATTTTTATTACATCTATTCTTTTTCCTTTTTTAAAAAAAACTACATCTGTCTCTTTTCCAAAAGATTCTTCCCATCTCTGTACACTTCATTTCAGAAACTGTTATGGAGCACAGATTAGGTTCAGAGAGTTGCTAAAAATTAATCATCAGACCAATAATGAGGGTCTTGGCTGTGCATCTCCCATATGAGCCCAGGCCTCCAGCCCAAACACACCTCCTCGTGGGTACTAAAGGGGAAGAGTAAACAGCTTAGGACACCTCCTTCAAGCAGTGGGAGTCAGCCCTCACTGCTAACCAATGCACTCTGGAGCCCTGAGACTGGCCATGTTTCCTTACACAGCACATTTGGGGCACTGGAGAGAAGGGCCAGTGGAACAGGGACTGGCTCAGCCAGCACCGTTGGATCTTTTGTGCTTCTCCCACCCAGGCATCACTTATGTGTACCATCCCTGTGAGGCTGGCTGACTCCAAGAAGTTAACATAAAAGCAAGCTCATAATTATGAAGATTAACACAATCATAGAGAAGAAACATGTTTGATGTGTGACATTTTTTAAATGGCAATGAACAATTAATTACACTGTGGTCAATCACAAGTACATCAAACTAAGCATTCATAGAATTCATATAAAACAAATATTCACGAACTAGAAAGGAACACAAAGTATCGGGAACAGTTGAGAATTAAGCTGGTTGGTCTGTAAGTAATGTTCCTGCTTCTCTTTTATGGTTACATTTGTGCAATAAATTAGAAAACAGGAGGTAGCCAAAGAATATATGAAAAAATGTAGTAATCATCAGAGAAATGCAAATTAAAACCACAATGAGACAAAAGATAACAAGTATTGGTGAGGATGTAGAGAAAAGAGAACCCGTGTACACTGTTGGTGAGAATGTCAATCAGTATAACCATTATGGAGAACAGTATAAAGGTTCCTCAAAAAATTAAAAATAAGGCCAAGACAGTAGGATCACTAAAGACTAGGAGTTCAAGAACAGCCCTA